TTTAAGGTCACCTTTGGGACAGAGAGGGTGTATGGGGGAAATGACTTTGTTGAGTGGGGTCAGGAGGGACAGGCAGAGGAAGAGCCTAGGGAAATGGCAAAGGAGTTGTGTCCTCATCCTATGAGTGTGTGTTCTCAGGCTGAGGAGTGATGCATCATGAACTTGAACCTTTCGAATCATTAACTTTTCTAGCTCCTGTAGGGTCTCCCCATCTTGGGACAAATCCATTATTTTACTGATGAGAAAATGGTGACTCAAGAATGAAAATGTGGTGACGATAGGTAACATTTAGTGAGCACTTTCTACAGGGCAGGTTCTGCTCCAAGTACTTTACATATATCAGCTAGCTCACTTAGTCCTCACAGTAACTCTTTGAAGTTGGCAATGTAACCTCCTCATCTCATAGAAGAGGAAACCAAGGCACAGAGGGGTTAAGAAACTTGCTGAAAGTCACACAGTAAGTGATGGAGCTAGGTATTATATAGTACTACTTCTCACAAGCACTGAAGATCATTAGAGCTTTACAATTATAATAAAAACTGGTGTGTGTGTGCATGCATGTTGTGTGTGTGTGGTGACTTTCTCAACCAGATGAGGCAGCATATCACCATCCATGAAAACATCAGAAATAAAGCAATGGTTTTAATTAGAGAAAAGTGATCAAAAGTTCAAGAAATCAAAAATCAGGAAAAATGAAAGTTTAGTAGTACATATTATCTCTAATGATTTCAAGGAGATGAGAAAAGAAAATTCTCGAACTATTTCTGCCAGTGCCTAAAAACTTATAAACTGTTTCGACTTTAAGGAAAAAGAACACCTATTTGTTTATTGATTCTTGTGCCACATATGGTGCAATCATCCTACTGGCTGGCTTAAGTGATCCGCTAAAGCAAGGCCTCCTGAAAATGAAACAATCAATGCCTAAATTAGGGTCCACCATTATCTGACCTCTCACTGGCAGGGAAGCCTTGAATCCAGAGAAATCTATAAGCTGGAATGTTTCTTCTAGCACATTTTTTCATAGATGAGTGGCCATTCACAGCTCATGGTTTTATGCAAGTGACATTTGTAGCTTGCTTGTCAATTAATCAATTCAGATATTGGTTGAGCACCTACTATATGGGAGACACTATATTAGGTGCTGGAGATAGTAGGTGGACACCTGGAAACATGAAAGACTGAGCTGATAGAAAAGGTTCTCCTTCCTGCTACAAACAATAGAAATGTTAGTCAGAATAGGACAAGACAAAATTTAAAATATATCTATAACTGAGTTTAGAAAAGTCCTAGATGCCAGAAATGGGGAGGAAGGTCTAGCCCAAAACAATGAGCAGGAGTTGGTGCATGGTCACCTGCCTAGGCTGTGGACCAGGACACAGGCCCCAGGGGCTAGAGGAAGAGGTTTTAAAGTCATGGCGGGAAAGACGGAGAAGTATTGAGCTGGTGTGAGCTGAGATGTATAAAGACACCCCTGTGTCAAGCTGCACATTTGAACGGCTACTCTGTGTATGAATAGGGCACAAGAAAATCCTCCATCGATCACCTGGCAAGGTGGCAAGGAAGCTTGCCTGCTGTCTAGGCACCTGAGTGAAAATTCACCTTCAAGAAATGGAAGCCCCAGCCTCTCCATGTGTAAGTGCAGAGTCCATATTTACACTGGCCGTGCAGTGGGGAATGCCAAGTTGAGAAATGACTTAAAAACTTAGGTGAACAAGATGAAGATACAATGTCCCCCTGAGGAGACACCACAACTTGAGCACAGAAGACTCCTGCTGGAAAAAAAGAAAAACACTGCTAGAGATGAGCAAACAATCCAAAACCAAATGAGAAAACTAGTGATGGGGAGAGAGAGCAAGTTCAATTCAAAGGAACATTAGTCCCTAAGACCCCGAGATAATAGGATAATTTGAAAGAGGCAATTAAACACGGTTAACTTCATAACAATGTGTATACATCAGCTCACTTTCAGTTCCAGGTCTATCTGTAAGGGTGATCTACAATTTCCTATTGCCTTCACCTGCCTTGTGTTACCCATTTGTGACCTGCCAGGCTAATCCACAGTCTCCAGCAGGGCACATTTGTCTCTGTCTCCCCGGTAAGAAGGGTGCATTGAACCCTTCCTCCACTCTCTCCAGCCACCAGGGTCATTAATGCCAATAATGCTGCTGTAATTTTTCATTAATTTTCTTGCTGTTTTGTAGTTATAGTAACATTAAAATTGATACTCAATATTATTACAATTCTCAACTACTAATGGGATTATTATTTTGTTCATTTGTTTGAAAGCCATTAGCATAAGATTTACCTCCAAGAACATCTACTGTGATTTTTTAATGCCCTTGAAACTCGCAGTGAGCGATAAGTCTATAATAAGAGAATGCTGGTAAGCATATAAATGTCTTTCTTGGGAAAAAAGGGCTTTCTATTTTCATCCTAGTTGGACTCGGGTTCTTTGATAGAGTGATTGGTAGGATATAAGGTATTAAAGGCTGAGAACACTGTGTTAGTTTGTAGATGTGTTCAAACAAGTTCCCTGGTTATTCAGAGGACACTTTTATATTCTAGGAAGATTCACATTCTTGTTCCTTTTTATGTTGTTTCTCATCTGACTTACATACAAAATATAATAAATCGGGTGCCTGCAGGAACAATATTTAGAACCATGAATTGTTTGGAAGTGAAGGGAACCTGAAATCACTCTATCTAAGGAGCTAGGGACTTAATATGTTGTTATTGGAGCTCTGGAGAAAGAAAAGGCTTACTCCCAAGGCTGGCGAGAGGAGTTTCTCTGTTGGGCATTTGTGTGAGGCAAGGAATGTGGATGGCTAGGGCTGGATTCATGGGTGTGTGACCTGCAGACTCTCAGGGCCCTGTGCTGTGAAATTCACAGCATTGCCATCTTGAAATTCTTAACAAACTTTGAACAAGGCACCCCACATTTGCACAAGGCCCTGCAAATTTTATATTTGGTACTGTGTACAGGGTTCGGAGCCACACACACTTGGGTTCAAGTTCTGATATTCTCTTGCTATTGACTGCCTCAGTTTCTTTATTTGTAAAACAGATAATATGTCTTCTCAAACTAGATGTGAGAGCTAAACGTACATGTCCAGTACCCAGGGGTCCTGAGAGGTGGTGATATACACGTTCAGTGAAATTTTTATCTCCCATGTGCAGTACCAATAGTTAAACTTGCTATTATGACTTAATACCAGGAACACTAGGCTGCTGGGATGAACAGACATTGCCTGTGTGGTACCGAAGCTAACCTAGTTAAGAACATACTAAGCAAAGAATATTTTCCTAATGGGGACATTCTAAGACTGGGGCATCTCATTCATCAGTTATCAACTTTCCACATGACACATAATGTTCACTTGCATGATGTGGTCTCAGTTTCTCACAATTCATATGTGTTTCCCTTCTCTCCAGAAACCTCTCAAGGTAGCCAAACAATGAGACTGGCATTATTACAAAGACGCCCTTGCCCTTGATCTAATTTACTTGCATACTTTAGTATTTCAACCCATTATATGTAACAAATGTTTTTCACCATACCACACAATAGAACTTGACAAGCTAGCATATCACAATTCCAAACCTGAGAACCAAAAACATGGACCTTGGGGATCCCGAACAGGGATTTCCCCCCAACTTCCCAGGACATGCCGTACAGGCTAGGACCAACATGGAGCATTCCATGACATTGCAGATGTACATGGCTGTGCTGTAGCCTGAATGAGCCATGCTAGCTATGAGGCATGGCAGCCAGAGTCAGAGAAACACTAAGTAGTTGGTGAGATAGATTAGTGACGAATAACATGCAGTCTTAAAACTTCTGGTTAAACATTTTTTTCCAAAGAATGGAGAAAGGACTTTAAATCAAATTAATAAAAAACATAAGCTAATTCCTGGGCATTTTTTGGACTTTGGTCCAAAAGGATTCCTCAGGGGATTATAGTAAGAGTCAGGGTGACCTTTCTGCATTCAATTTAGGGTTTGTGGAGGCTGGGAGTCCAGATGTTAGACTTCAAGGGGAAGCACAACAGCTGTGCTCACCCTCCTGCACAGCTCGGGCCTCTGGGCACATGCACAACTTGAGACGTGGGCCCAGTGTCTCTGGGGCCTTCTGTACTATCTCAGAAGACATGAGACAACCTCGCAGGGCCCTGTGTTGTGAAATGACCACATCCAAAGCATGGTTTGATCTTTCTTTACTCTCTCCAGAGCACTTGTGGGCAGTGAGATCTTTCTGGCCCAAATAGCTTTTGTGGGTAGTGATGGCCAAAGCTGGACCGTCTCTTCTCCAGTGCAGCTTGTGAATGACCATAAAGAAACCACAACTCTTCTTGTAAAATCCCTCATCAGCCTCTTTATAGAGCCTTTGGTGAAGGATGAGGCATTATCCGTCAAAGAAATCAAGAAGAATGATGGGCTACTTCTTTTTCATCTCAGTGATAAGAGTAGGATCTTAGATAATAGTACAGCTTGTTGGCCCTCATAACATGGCACATGGTACACAAAAGATGTTTCAGTCTCTAATGATTATGACTAACTAATTTATCTAACACCTCAAGACATAGTTTCAAGAGCATGTGCACATACACAAACATTCATTTTTGGATATGGTGTTATTGGCTTAGATAACTTGGTTGTTACTCCCTGACCCTCTCAATGGTCATGGTAAGCAAACCATAATCTACTACATTGACTCTCAGGAGACCAGAGACGTGGCATTCCCAAAATCTGGCCACAGCAGTAGCTTTTAGCACAAACTAAAGGAAACACAAATATAGCCAGGGAAAATCTGAGACAACATGGTGGACATAGGTGCCTCTGTGTTCAACATAAACTCTCCAGACTCAGCAATAGATTTTGCTTCCTTTGGTACTGATTTTCCAGCACATTGTACTATAAATTTCAAGCTCCTGGGAAAGAAATCTAAAAGACGCTTTGACTGCATATCTGGTTTGGGGTCATTTTGTAATTGTTTTTCTTACCTGTTGTCGAATTTCTTCCTCCATTTTCACTGGTGAGCCCAATTCTGCAACTTGTTTGACACCTTCACTCGCATATCCTCCATACTCCCATAGCACGTAATTCTTGGAGTGGGATCCGCCAATGATTGCAGACCAATGATTAGCCCGACCTGGGAAAGCCAATCGGGATGCAGGTATCAGTGTGGCTGTGGTTAAAACTCAAGTCTCTTAAATGATGGGGAGGGAATATAATTGGACGATGATTCAACCTTCTGGCTAAGCACCTGCTCTGTGTTAGGCCCTGTGCTTTCAGTGATGAATAAGACAGTCCTTTTAGCAAGTAAGTCTTGGAAATATGCAGACAGAGCAATGGTAGGTGTCTGAACAAGACTCAGAGGCAGCCCAGAATGATGACTTCTGCCTGGGAGGGTTTCATAAAGGGGACAGCTCAGAGAATTTTAAAAGTTGAGCAGATTTGTAAGACAGAATAGAGAAGAAAGGCTATTTCTGGCAGACTCAGAAACATTAAATAACATTGTGTGTTTAGGGAGCCATAAATAATTTAGCATTGCCATATCACAAACTGTCAAGGGGAGAGGTAGGAAATGATGCCAGGGAGGTGGGAAGGAGGAGTCTGTTCATGAATGGCCTTGTTCTAAATACTTCAGGAGTTTGGATGTCATTTGAAAGGGTCTGAAACTACTGAAGGGTTCTGAGTAAGGAAATGACATAATTGCATTTGAATTTCAGATAAATCATCTGAGTGTAAAGACTGTATTAGAGGAAGCAAAATTGGAGTGTAGAGCTGGGGAGGTCAGCAAGGAACTAAAGGTAAAGGGATTGGGTGAGAAATAGGCTTAATAATTCTGTGGAAGCATTGTTGTCTTTAGCTGGCTTTTATGTACCTTCCAGGATGAGGGGCAGGCAGGCTAGCCATGATAAAGAATGAGAAGGCAGTTTGAATATGAGAAAGTCACCAGTCCATGGTGGTTTGGTGAGGATCATGTGGGATGATGACTGTTATGGGATGCAGGTGGGAATTAATGGATGACATAATGACACAAGAGGAGAACAGAATGGGGTCTGGGCGGGACCAAGACAGATCTTAACCTGAAGATTTTTCAAAGTTCAAAGGAGAGGAAGGAGAGGAACAAAGTCAGTATCAGCATGATACTGGGTTTGTTTTTGCACAAGATGACTATAGATACATATTTATTTCTTACTAAGTTACGTACAATTCATCATAAGGTTGGCTCAGTTCTCTGTCATTCTTTGGTTGATTTTATAAAGCCTCATGTTAAAAAACATTTTTTTGGCATAGCGAAGAGGAAAACTTGAACTGGGTGGACCCAACTGACATTTGCAGTTTACCGCCATGTGGCCCAGAGTGAGCAGAACTCTCTACTCCACTCCACCACTTAAGAAAATGATTCTGAACAGGGCCTGATTCTGTTTACATCTACTACCTGCTATCCCATGGCCCTGTGCTCTAGGGACACATCAAGAACATGGACATAGAGCCAGCCTCCTGGTTTGCTGAAGGCAGCCTTGCTCTACCTCAAGCTGATGACATCGCCATGTGGGTCTACCCAACTGCTTGTTCATTATTTCCCACACATCAGGGAAATGCAACTTTGTGTTTATCTGTTATGTCCCTAAGGAAAACAGGTGGAGATACTGCCAACTATTTCTCTAACTCACTTCTTGAGTGAGGAGAATGTCCTATTTGTCATCTAAGCCAAGAAGACTGCTTGTGTAGGAGCAAAAGTGAGGAGTCTGTCCTGACCTTTGGCTCATGATATGAACTTAGGAAGTCCAGTTTCAGCATCTCTTGATCCTTCTGCTCTGTTCCACTGAAATGTCCTCTTGTTCCAGACCCATACTACCTGCAATTTGTACCTATGTGGCTTAGCACATGCTGTTCCCTTTGTGCTTTCCTCCCCTTGGCTTGGCCAACTCATTCCTCTTCCATGATTTACCCAGAAGCCTCCTAAGGCTACCCTAGACCAACTTAAGCCCTTGTCCCCTATCTCCCCACAGCACTGATAACTTTTATAATCACTGTTACATGTCTGTTTTCCCAGTAAACTGTAAGCTCCCTGACAGAGCCTGTCTTCAGCACTGTATCCCCAGCACCAAGCACTGTGCCTGATGCATTGTGATTGCTTAGTACATGTTTTCTGAAGTATTTCATTCAAACAATCAAATTGGAAGATGGCAGTATATGTGCTCAAAGCATTTGGGAACAAGCTTGCACAGGGCAGTGGGAGCAGGATTCTATTAACGAATGAATAAAGATTAAACACCTATTATTAGGTGTTAGGTATAATGCTTTCCTAGATATAACCCTCACTATAACCTCATTCTCATCTTATAGAAAAAGACAATGAGGCCCACAGATGTTAAGGAACATACCCAAGCTCACAGAGCTAGTGAGGAGCATAGCTGGGGATCAAACCCAGGTCCATCTGCCCCCAGAGTGCATGTTTTTTTTACCTACATTCCACTGAGAGGTCAGAAACTGGGGGAGACCATTTGGTGGACTGGAGAGTTAGAAGACAAAGAGATAAGATGAAAAAGAAAGTCAGGACCAGGTCTTGGAGAATGCTGAATGCCCATTTTGGTAAATGTCATCAGGAAAAGGGGAAATATGATGGAAGTTTCCTTCTGGGAAGAATGACATGCATGGCAATAGTTACATATTGAGCTGTTATTATGTGCTGGGCACTATACCAAAGACTTGACTGACATTTCCACATTAGACACTCAAAAAAGAAAACAATTTCGATAGAGATACTATCATAATTTCCATTTTTCACATGAGGAAACAAACTCAGAGAGGTTGAGTTAACCCAAGATCACAGAAGCAGATGAATGAAGACACTGAGATTCAGTCAGGTGTGTCTGATGCCAGAGCCCAGCTCTTCTCTACCATATTGCATATCTCCAACAGGACGCACTTTAGAAGGTTAAGAGTGAGAAGACTAAATATAGTCCGTAGGGTCTGACTTAGGGCAGTGTAGAGGAATGGGGACATGGGGTCAGAGGTATGAGCCAGTAAGAGAGAAGTTGGGAGGCACTTTGGTGAAGTAGTTAAGACTCTGGTTTTTGGATCAGACTAACATGTATTCTAGTCTCAGTTCTGAAACTTTCTAGATTAAATAAGTTAATGAATCACTTTCAACCTCAGTTTCCTCATTTGTAAAGTAGAAATATTGACATGACCGCCCTCCTGGTGTTGTTCTGAGGCCAAAGTAATGACAAGTGGCTGACACATAAAATAGGTCAATGTTAATAAATACTAGCCAATCAAATCAAATTGGAATAAGGCAAGGCAAACCTAGACAAATTTCTGGAAGTGAATCTGGCTGAGCAACTGGGTGGCAGTCTGACTTAGAACTGGTGCATACGGATAACAGGAATATCAGATGCAAGGAGCTGAATCTGAAAAAATGATAGAGAGTTATGTAAATGGGACTCAGTGCTCTGGGGGCTGCAGACCCCAGGAAACTGGGACACAGAGAAGTTTAGCCCTGGCCCCCACCATCCTTCAGGAACTAAGGAAGGAGAGAGAGAGAGAAGTCCCAGGTTTTAGGAGTCCTGGGGAGAAGGGAACAAGGTAAATGCTTGTGGCTTTCTTAAAAGAATACTCAGGGAGGCTACCACTGGTATCCTTGGTGAAACACAGGGCTTCAGTCTTGGTAGCAGAGGCAGAGAAACCAACATAACTAACAATCCCTTAGGCTCTCAGGTAAAGCCATAGCTATTTGGTTTAGTATGCCTCTCTCTGGTTCCAGCAGTGTTAGATTGACCTATACATATCTGGGTCTAGATGTTTACTCCCAATAGCTTGGATGAGACATAGATGGGACAGAGGCATGTGGGAAGCTGGGAGGAAAAAAATGATTAGACATGTGAGTTTGAGATATTCATAGTCAACCATACGCATTTGTCTGAAAAACCACTCCAGGGACATATCCTGAATATATGTGTAGTAACCTTATTTCTGACACTTCTGTTGTCATTGCCGATGCTAAATTCACAATGATGCCTAAAAGGCCATCGCTGATGAAAAAGAACCAAGTCTGGCTTTTTGTCTGGTGTAGGAGGAAGCATGCTTCATGGTATATGGATTCTCTGAGGTATTCTGCACATGGCAGGTGTTCAGTTACAACTCAGATTTCCTGGCCTGCTTTGATAGTGGCTACATTTTCCTGCCAATCTCAATTTTGCAGAAAGCCACCCATTCATTTCCTTGACATCCACTTGTAGTATGTCACAGGAGAATGTTCTATAGCCTGGTGACTGGTTTGCTACAGCCTTCTGTTATCCAACCTCAGCTTCAGGAAATCTTTTTCTGGGGGGCCCAATATTGAATTTGCTATAATAGCAACACCAGAGCTCCTCTAATCTCCAAATCTCAGTCTCGTCTCTCTCTTTTCTCTCTTAGTAGATGACCTTGTCATTTAACTCATCTGAGAAGACCAAGGTTAACCCATCCACAGACTTATCCATGCACCATGTGGCCAGTGACGAATAGAAAAATCCTATGGACCTGCCAGCTCTATTCATAAAAGTCGTCTTGGATCTCACTTCCCTCCTGCCCTTGTTATTCTCATTGGAGGCTCAGTTCCAGTATCTGCATGGTTTCTGACACTTTGGATTTGGCTACAAAACTTGGCTTCTCTGGATTTCCCCCTGGGTGCTGCCCACAACACAGCTCTGTGGCTCTTCCTGCTCTTGGCTGCTTCAGAAGCTTGCTCTGACCCAGCTATTTTGGTTTTCAGTATCCCATCTCAGTATGGCCTCCTGCAAAAAATCCTGCATGGAAATATGACAAATAGACTAGAAATTCCTCAGCTTTCTGTCACTCAGCTAACCTTTTTTCCTTCCATAAGGTCTCAAGAGAAGTGTCACTTTTCCATTCCAGGAAAACTCCTTGCACTTATGTAATCGATTATATTCTTTCATATTTCTGCTGAAGTCTCCAATGCTAATATTCTATTCTATGAATTCATTCACTGAATGAACATTAACTAGGCATATACTATGTGCTAAGCCAAGGATCAGCAAGCTACAGCCCAATGACTGTTTTTGTTTCAGTAAAGTTTTTATTTTGCTTATTATTTATGTATTATTTAGGGCTGCTTTCGTGCTGTAATGGCAGTCA